CATTATTTTTAAATAAAACAGAAGACTTAAAAAAGAAATGTCATGTTATTATACTCCCTAACACTTCAAACTATGCATATATTCCCCCATACCATACTTTGCTGGAATAATTTGTGAAGCAGTGTCTTAATATATAAAGAGCTCTTAATAAAATATTAACTCAACAGAAAATTTTTAGCACTGATCACTTATATATATTGCTATGAAAAGGGTAAACAAACTTTTTCTATAAAGGGCCAGAAAGCAAATATTTTAGGCTTGCAGGTCAAATGATCTCTTGAATGGGCATGGCAGTGTTCCAACAAAACTTGGATTTACAAAAACAGGGGCTGGTGGTTCCTCCACCAGCAGCATTCTCATCACCTGGGAACTGGTTAGAAATGCAAATTACCAGGCTCCACCCCAGACCTTCTGAATGAGAAACTCTCAGGTGGGAGACATATATCATGTTAGATAGACCAGGAAGAGGCTGTGCCTCTCAGCCAGTGATTTGCCTTTGGAGACACAAAGGATTTGAGTCAGCACTACAGAGGGGACAAGAAAGCCAGACCAAATTTGAGGCTGAAATCCCAGCTACCATGGAATGTATGAGAAACCGCGTTCCAGCAGTGTTTTCCATCAGAAGCGAGGAGAAGACCATCCAGAGTCGTAATGCCAAGACCTCTGCGATGAAGTGATGGTCCAGGATGAAACCGTTCACGTCTACCACATTTCTTGGGATTTCGGGTATGGGCAAGAGTCATTTTTGATGAATCCACATTTTTGCTTTTTGTGCTATCTTTAGATTCTAGGGCTGCATAACATGCAACACCATTAAATGGTGCACGAAGTGGTTAATGAATAAATGAGTAGATAGAACTCTCCTTCATGGAGTAAATTTTTATGGAGGATCTTAGAGGACACACCTAGACCTAAGGTCAAGGACTTACCTGAAGTCAGAGATGAGAATGAAGACAAAGATAAATGAGCATTCCCAAAATGACTTACATTTCCATGGAGGAGGACCTCCCCAACACATCCGCCCCTCCTTTACCTGGGCATTTGGGTATGTCAGGTTAGCGCGGGGCAATGTAAATACCCTAAGTTGCTCCACAGGCATAATGGCTTCTCTCATTCTAGGTGCCCAGGTCAGAAACCTTGACATTGCCCTCAACTCTTTCTCACCCTCCACATCTGGTCCATCAGCAATCTCCTCAGCCCCACCTCAGAATCCAGTTACTTCTCACTATCTCCCCATCCCCAATCCTCAATCTTCCAGGTCTGACCCACCACCCTCAGCCCTGCGCTAGCTGGTAGTCCTGCTGCCCTACCCTACTCTCCCTGCCTTCCGTCTGTTCTCACACAGGAACAATCAGCATGTCCATGTTAAAAGCTACAGAAAGTCCACATCACTCCTCTACTCAAAACCCTCCAAGGGCTCCCACTTCTGTCTCAAAGTAAAATCGACAGGCCTTACCGCATGCCACGTGGCCTTACACATCTCATCTAACTCCCACTGTTTCTCTGAACTCAAACAGTAAATGCTCTCCTCCTCTGGCCTCAGGGCCTTTACATATGCTGTTTCCTTACTGGGATTGCTCTTCCTTTCCTCAGATGACTCACTTCCTCCATAACATCACTCCAAGATGACTCAGGTCTTCCCTGTCTACCCCTTCTAAAATTTCAGCTCCCACCCCAACACCTAATAACCCCAAATCCTACCAGCTTCTACTTCAGAGCACCAAGTCTCATTGTCGGCCTCCCTAGCCATGTGTGAGCTCCATGTGGGCAGGAAATCTCCATCTGGAGCGCCCAAAGCATTGCCTGGCACACAGTAGCCTCTCAATAAATGTGTTAAATGTGTGGCAGGCCTATGAAGAGTACAAGCTGCAAGCAGACCTCAATTATTGGAGAGCCCACAATCTCAAACCTGTGACAAAATAACAGCCTAGAAATAGCAAAGCCAGGGAGAAGATGAAGAGAGTGCCATAAAGCACACAAAGGGCTTGTTTTAAACCCCATGGCAGTAATGCACAGCTTAACCTGGAGCAGGAATGTTTCCTAGCAAAAGAATAAAAGAGAAGCCCAGACACAGGCTCTCTGAGGAGAGAGCATAACTGGAAGAACAGCAGGGAGTGAAGATGAATTAATGAGGTTATCCGGCTTTGGGACTAGTGTGTTGGGAGTTTTATAGGCAAGGCCAGGGAAACAGGTCAGGGAAGAACTGTAAAATGTTTAAATTAAAAAAGCCTAAGAGGATTAAATAAAAATACGTTTTTAAAAAGCTTTCATTTACAAGTACAAAGCGCTATACAACTGCAAATTATAACCGACTTTTAATTCCCTTAATCAAAATGGGGAAATTCCTTAAGCTACCCAGTGGTGCCAGAAATGAGACCCTAAATGGAGCCCAGGTTTCTCTTTAGAGACGCTGAAGAGGGTGGCAATAGCCTACTCAGGATTTCCAAAATCAAACAAACCTTAGGTTCCTTGAGAGCAAAAGGCTGGGTTTTATCAACAATGATTTGATCAACAGCATCTGGCACCAAATTAGTGGATGGACTGATGTAAGGCTACGTGAACTTGATCCTGGGCTACCTACCTCATTTCTGCAATGCTAAGTCCACTATCCTTTGTTACACAAATGGAACAGCTAGTGTAGCATGAAGCCTGGCAAAACGCTCTCCAACATTCCAGCCAGGTACTTTCATAAGCATTTCTGAAACATCCTAACAGACACTAAAACGCAGTTCAATTAACTGTGCCACAGTCAGGAAGCACAACTGCCATTCGACCATCTGCGGGAAAAGAAAACTGTCAATATGAAGTTCTTGAAATACCTAGTTTCTTATAAAAAAAAAAATCACTCCCCACTCCGAGCAAAGAAACCAAAAGAAAAATGTCCTGGTGTTCAAAAAAAGAAGCCATTTTGGCAAAAGGAAGTCTAGAAGGCAGATAGCTCACGTTTAGGCTGTCAGGTGAAATGGGTAGCCTGCTGGACACACCCGCTAGTCTTCTCTTAACTAATAGGTGTGCCAAGAGGGCTTATCCTGTGCACGCCCACTGCTGGCCTTTTAAAAGGCCGGTGCCCAAAAACTACTAAATTCTGGATGAGTGAAAAGAGACCAATAGTGACAGGTTCACAAGTGACCCTGACAGAGTCAACCATAACCCATTACAGAGTTCGGAATTTTTTAGCTGAAAGGCCCTTTATAAATCTCACCAGAATCAAACACCAGGGGTAAGGTGGGCACAGTCAGGTGAGAAGGTTAAAAGGCAGGTGCAGACAACTGGAAACCGTGAGGCCCCTGGCTAACAGCATTCAAATGCAAAACCATAATAAAAATGTTCCAGCCATCCCTGATTCTAGCCTCCGCCTTTAGAAAGGAAGAAACTGGCGGAGGGCGGTCACATGGCCAACTAATGACAGCTCAAACTAGACTGTCTCGGGACTCTAGGTCCCATGTCCTCGCACATCCCCAGGCTTCTCTGCACACTGGATGACCCAAACGTCAGCAAAAACAGCATCTTCCACCTCCGGTCTCCCAGCACTGCAAGAATAAAAGTAGCAACTACTGCTAACGCCCCAGACCCAGAATTCCCTTATGGGTGACTTTCCTCCACCTCGGTTGCCCTCGTTTACCCTTTGCCCTGACAATCAAGAATTTCCCATCAGTCATGCTTAAAACCCCCAGCCTGCAGGCCCAGTTCCTGTCAGCTACCCATCCAAGGGGACTTACAGAGTCAAAGGAAGGAGAAAATTCTGCGCCCTTAAAGTAGTCATACTAGAAAATGTCAATTTCTCTTTCCAGCACGGTGGCAACAAGGGGAACCCGCGACCCCCAGGGGACAGGCCAGATGGAAAGGGCCTGGGGTCGGAGCAGCTGCTTCTAAAATTACTTGGCGCAGCCTTTGTAAAAGAGAAGAAAGCAAAAATGGAAAAAGAGGCACGCACACACACATACACCCGCACCCCCGCCGCTCGCTGCCCTTCTTGATGGCCCTGAATTCCGGGGGGCGCACGGGCGCCCTGCATACCTCCTGCGGAGGAGCAAGGGGAAAGCGACCCCAGGACGCGCGGGCCGAAGGGCAGGGAGGAGGCGGCGGCAGCCAGCTGGGTCAAGGGGGTACCCCACTTGACTCCCCGCGGCGCGGCCTGAGGGCCCGAGCGCGCTGCAGCTCCGGCGGAGGACAGCGGTGAGCGCCCCGGGCCCCGGCCGGGCCCGGCGGGGTCTGGAGGTCGCCGGGCATCCACGGGCCCCGCGGCGGCCGGCCGGGGTAGGGGACCGCAGGCCGCGCTGCAGGGCGGGTGACAGCACGCGGGGGTCGTGCCAGGTCGGCCTCGTGGGCGCAGCGGGCACCTCTCGACCCAGTCCGGCAAGAGCGGCCCCGTGGGCCGGGCGTGGGGCGCGGCGGCCCGGCTCTCACCTGGCTGCAAGCTCGCTGGGCTCCGGTCCTGCCTCAGCGCCGCAGTGCCCGCCGCCACCGCTTCTGCCTCTGGTCCCCGAGACAGCCGCCTGCAAAATGGCGCCGCGGAGGGGCGGGCCGGGGGCGGGGAGCCGCGGAGCCGCCCGCCCCCGCGCCGGCCTTGGGACCCACCTCCCTCCCCGCCCCCGACCCCCGCCCTCCGGCCTCCCCACCAGGCAGAGGGTGCCCCTTCACCCCGGAACGCGCGGCCAAGCGTCGCCGGGCTCTCGCCCCCTTCTGCCCCCGTGGGGTTCTCTGTGCCGCTCCCCCCACGTTCCTTTTATTTTCCTCTCTTGCGTGGAAATCGACCCCCCTTCTCGTTCCTCCCCGTCACACCTGCTCCTGGGGACCCACCTGGAATGCAGCGCGCTCGCCGGGAGTCTCCCCCTCCTGGTGTCCCCTTTTTACCCTGCCTGACACTGAGCCTTGTCAGCGCTCCGTGAAGAGAATCAAGCAGCTTGCGGGGCATTGGGCTTAGTGGGTTGGATGTCTCAAGGCAATGTCACCCTTTCTCCAGGCCCGCAGGGTTTTTGTTTTGTTTTTTTTTAACTTACTGGCGAAGAGGTCCTCATCATATTATTCAGACACGGTCATATAGAACGAGGCGTCTCAGACTCGAATGTCCTGGGATCTTGTTTAAGTGCGGGTTCTGATTCAGCAGATCTAGGGTGCAGCCCGAGATGCTGCGTTTCTAAAATGCTCCCTCCCCAGGTGATGCCGCTGGGTGAGGGCCGCTGAGCGGAAAGGCTGCAGGGATATCGTGGCGCAGGACCGTTAGCGCATCGCTGCCTCACCTTGAGCGCTTCATTAAGACGCGTATGTCGGGGTCCCACCTCCGGGGCTACTGAGGCGGGAGGTCTGCAGTGAGGCTCCAGTATTTGCATTTCTGACGAGTGCGGAGGTGATGCAGATGCTGCTGCTCCCTGGGGATCACACTCAGCGAGGCACGGCTGAAGACCATCTGAATACGTAGTACACACACACACACCACTAATAATTAACATTCTCTTAGCACCTTCCATCTTGAAACTACTGTCGAGGTTGCTACTGCAACCCAATGATAGCTAGTTCCCAAGCAACTCTTGAGAGAGCTAGAGAGTTGTGGACGATGTCTGACCTCACATGGACAGGAGCAGATTTTATCATCAGAGTGTTCTGCCTGTTTTACAGCCTTGGGGGACTCTAAGTTATAGGTATTGCACATGTCAGTGTGTGTGTGTGTGTGTGTGTGTGTGTGTGTGTGTGTGTGTCTCCAGCAACTGTGGAAATTTTGTAAACTAGGGAGGTGTGGTCTATGTCTTTGAGAATCACCAACGTATCATCCCATTTACTTCTGTGATAATGTGTATTACTAAAATATGTAAGTTGGCTCGTAAAATTCAATACACACTGGAAGGCCAAGTGTTTTGATCTCTAGTGAAAATGGAGAATATAAGAGATGGAGATTCTGTGACTAGCACCTAGAAAAACAGTCACACTGCCCTGTACAACATCTAACATCCCCACCACCCTGCTACACCAGTGAGAGCATTTTCCAGCCAAACTTTTTTTTTTTTTTTTTGAGCACTATGTGTCCTGCTCAGGCTCGGATGTTGAAATCTTCTCAGACAGAAGTCAGGGAGCTAACTGTTGCATCTTCAGTGTCTCCCTCTCCCTCCATAGACGTTACAGACTTTATCACTCCCCCCAAAAAAAATTCCACTGTCTCCTCCCCTCTCCACCCCTCTTGGACTTCACACCTCTCTTCTTTCCTTCTTTCCATCACTCCTCGGGAGCAGTCACTTCCTGCTTTCTCTGATGTCATCGGTGACCTTCTAACTGCCAAATCCAATTGCCTATTTCCAGTCCTTTTCTTCTTTGAGGGTTCTGTAACATTCCATTGACTTCTCCCTTCTTGAAGCTCTTTCCTAGTGACAATATCACTGGATCTTGCTTACTGTCCTACACACCCTCCACTTCCCTCTCAGTGATGTGTGAGTTGCCAATGCTCACCCCTAGAAATGTTAATTTTCCCTAACATCTCCTTCCTTTCTTCCCATCTTTCCCCATCCCCCCCCCCACACCCATCTTTTTGAACTCCCTCTAAAGGTCAGCCATCTGCTGACGGTTCCCAAATCTCTCTCTCCATACCAGACATACATCTTTCTGAACTTCTAGACACACATTTCCAATTGTTCCCCTAAGCAACCTCCTGTCGATATTATCCAAGCATTTTAAATACAGCATCTCCACTACTTAACTCATTATTCCCTCACAAGCTTGTTTCTTACCTGGGTTCTCTCATTTTGCCACCAGAAACTTGAAAGTCAACTTGGACTGCTTGACCCTCAGCCTCCACGTCCAGTCTGGCACTTGTGGCCAATTGGAGCAGGGAAGTGTATCTGAAATTCTCTTCTCTGCATCCACCATCCCAGACCCTTACTCAGTCTTCCTTGGATTGTTGAAAAAGCTTCTCTCTGGCCTCTTGGCCTCAAGAATTATCTCCCAAAGCCGTTCTTGTTATCACCCTGAAACACAGAACTGACCCCTTCACACCCTTTCTGTAAATCCTTCAGGGCCTCCTAGTCTACAGAATACCCTGGTAAAAAAACAACAGAATATAGGCTATTTCCCAGAACAGCATTCAAGACCTTTCACTGTTTAGTCTCCAGTTGCCTTTTTTAATTTTTTTTCTGGACAAAGCACTGCTTTTTATTGCTGGCGGACTGGAGTTGGTGTCAGGGGATGACCCTGACTTCAGCCTTGCAGGGTTCTTGTAAGGCTTCAATGAGATCATTTATATAAAGTACTTATTCAGTGCTTGAATACGTAGGTGTTCAATCAATGTCCTTAGTTCTATATAATTATGTTATCATCAATTCAAAAAATACATGAACATTTTCCTATTCATTTCCTTTTATATCCTATTCATTTTCCTTTGCTATTACAGCTGATAAAAACTGGACTTTTTCCCCCCCACTTAAATCAGCAGAATACATCAAGATCGTTTCATGACCTGGATAATGTGATTGAAATTTTTGTCATTTCCGGACTGTGTTATTTTAGAGAGGTAATTGTAGCTTGAGGCTATTCCATCTTCATACAGTGCTTTTCTTTACAATATTTATTTCCAGTATCTCTCTGGAGTCTAGAACTGAGGTTGGCAAACTTTTTTTGTAAAGGGCCAGATAGTGAATGTTTTAGGCTATGTGGGCCAAGAGGCAAAGTGAAGGACATTATATAGGTACATATATAATGAGAGAAAACAAATTTCCACAAATTTTGTATTGATGAAATTCAAAATATAATAATAATAATTGAGTACAATCTTTTTGTAATATAGGGATACTCATGAGAAAAATGGAATTGGGGGGGGATAAGATTTTGTTTAACTGGAGTTCAAAGTTAGTGTCTCCTGTCATCAAATTGGTCACAAATGTTCATCTGTAAAAACCATCCTTTGCTGTGAGTGGGCCATAGTTCCCTGACTCCTGATCTAAACCATAACTCCCCTCACTTTGACTGTCTCTTTAGGGTACTATAGGATTGATATAATTTTAATAGATCTTTAATGATAGAAAAACCAAAATGAGGTTCATTTCAAAGTCTTCGGAGAAAGTACTTAGAGCAGAGGGTGAGAGCTTCATCCATACACCATCTCTTGGTGTTGGAACTGCAAGTTCCTGAATAGAATGATCTAATACCTAGTCATTTGTGACTGACTTCTTTCACTTAGCATAATGATGTTTCCAAGGTTCAACCATATTGTAGTGTGGATCAGTATTAATTCCTTTTATTATTGTGGTAAAATATACATAACATAAAATTTACCATTTTAACCCTTTGTAAGTGTACAATTCAGTGACATCTCCTACCCCACCCCAATAGCCTCAAATTCCCCATCTAGCCATTTCCCCCTACTTGCTTCCTGCTTCCAGGACACCACTCATGAGAGATGCGTTCCCTCCACCCCATCTGCCTTTTCCACACCCCACCTGCCCTTGAGGGACCCCTCCTGACAGCGTCCGGACTGAAGATCCCTTCAAGGCCTCCCTTGCTCAGCTATCTTCCTTCCCTGCCTCTCACTGCTGACCACTCCTTTCTGAAACCTGTATTCCCCCCACCCAGTTCTTGCACCTCTTTCCTCTTCTCAGCTCTGCTTCAGCCCCTGTCTCCCAAGTCCCTCCTCTTTTCCTCCCCACCCCCCACCCCGACCCAGGGCCATCTGGCTTCTGTCCCTGTTTTCCTCTGAAATTGCCCAGGTAAATTGGCCGTTTCCTCTGAATAATACAATCCAGAGGATCTTTTCCGTAGCATCTTACTGGAACTTTCTGGAGGCATTTGGTACAGCTGCCACTGGGTTCTCTCAGGAAAGGCTCTCCTTTCTTGGCTTAGCGGCTGCATTTCCTACTGGTTCTTCTACTTCACTGACCCTGTTTTTTCCGTCTCCTCAGACTCCTCTTCTTCCAGCCCCCTTCAAACATAGGTGTTGGGGGCAGAGGGAGGGTGGCTGTGTCAGTTTCTGTTTTTCCTCCAAAATCCCTTCAGGAGCTTCACTGTTCCTTCTACCCAATCACCTTAACCTTTTGTCCGGATCATTCTTACTCATCCTTTAAGTATCCCCTTAGCCTCTGCTCGCAACCTCCTCTAAGCCCCTAGGCTCGTGTGAGGGTACCCTGGGTACTTCCTGGCATTTCTTACAGAATGAAATTATATTGAAACGATTTGTTTCAGTGTTGTGCTTCTCTGCCTTACAAATTGTCAGTTCCTTGATTACGTGCTCTTCACATAGTGCCTGCCACATAGTAGGAGCTGAGTAAGTATTCAACGATTTCAATTGTTGGACTGAACCAACATGATCTGATCACTGATGGAAGGTGAGCTGAGAAGGGAGTTAAAGACTCAGAATTAACCCCCAAGTTCCTATAGAATTGAAAGCCAAGAGGGAAGCATAGGTTAGAGGCAAAACACAAAAGGCCTTGAATGCTAGGGTAAAGAAATGGGGTTTTATTCAATAAGGAGTCATTTGAACCTAGAACCTCATGGACACACTTAGTCTTTAGGGGGAAAAATAGAAAAAGAAAAAAAATGCGTCAGTAACTATACAAAGTAGAAAAGAGGCAAAACTAATCCCAGCTGTTGGAATTCAGGATGCTGTCACCCTGTGGTGGGATAGTGACTAAGGAGAGGTCCATGGGGTCTTCTGAGGAGCAGGTCATGTTCTATACCTTGATCTGAGTGCTAGGTACATAGGCATATTCACTTTGTGAGATTTCATTAAGCTGCACACTTACTATATACGCATGTTTCTATATGTATACTACAAAAAGTTTGTATTAAGTAAATGCAATAATGAGACTTAAAAAAATCCAGTTAATAAATTTATATTCAATAAATCTTAAATAACATGGTCCATCTCCAGAAATGGGGTAAAGCCCTGTCTGGAGTGGACGCTGGGACAGAAGATCAGGCCCAGGGAGGTGAACTGGTTCAACTTATTGTCTCCAGGAATGTGCACTTCAGAAAACAGCAATGAGTCTATATGAGGACGGACAATTAGGTTCACGCACTCCTCCTAGAAAAAGCACTGCCTACCTCATTGCTGAATATCACTCTGGTCACCTGCGAAGTACTCCCCTTAGGAAGCTATGCACTGATGCCAGTGCCTAGTCCACCCTTCAAAGCAATCTTGGAACTCTTTTTCTGGAATGGCCATCAGAGCTGTCGTTGTATTACCCTTGATGTCCTGGATGTCATAAAAATGTCTTCCTGTCAACATTTCTTCTATCTTTGGGTAAAGAAAGAAGTCATTGGGAGCCAGATCAGGTGAGTAGGGCCAATACAGTTATTTGTTTACTGCCTAAAAACTCCCTCCCAGACGGTGCCGTGTGAGTTGGTGCATTGTCCTGATACAAGAGCCATG